TTAGATCTATAGGCCAACATTAGAGCCATTTCCCTTACATCTAGGCATCTACGAAATAGAAACATATTTGCTACAAATCTCCATCATACGAATTGTGCCAAATTTGGACTCTTGAACAAAATGATTAATACAATAAGCACTGCGATAACATTGACTTTACCAAACCAAATTAAAGCAATATTTTAATTCCTTGCGTAACGTCAGTTAGTAGTAGTATTTTTATTTGTTCTCATGGCATACTAAAATGTATAGGTATAACAAAGACACAATTGTAAAACATAGAACTTAAGGCAACAATTGTAAAACGGTATACACTGATTGACGACAAATAAAATAGTTGCAGGCAAAGACAAAAACTAGTTGCTAAGGATTCCGGGTTTGGAGGCGAACCAGCCCAAGGCTGAAAGCCTCCCTAATGAAGATAAATTAATCAATTAATTAGTTGCTAAGGAATCCAATTTTGACTGACAAAGGGGCGCACTTTTACAATTTTTGCATTAGTGTAATTGTGTGGCAAGTACAATCATACCAGGGAAATCGAAAAATTTACCAACCCAACTGAACTAAGGAAGGCCCTACACAATATATCTAAATCTAGGAGTAAATCAGAAGGAGTGAAGAATTCTTCTTGCTGAAAAATTTCATTCTAAGATGCATTTAGCCATATTTTATGGGTGTTCAATAATTAGATGCAAAGTGTGCAATACTAAATAGAATTTCAATGCAAATGGTGCGTGCAACGGTTGGTCTCTGAGACACAATCAAAAGATTAATTATAAGGAATTTTTTAACGACTATAAATTGCAAATGATCTCTGGAAATATTGCATGATTCGCAATCGAAGATTTCTTTGGGAATTCCTTTTTTGAAAACGTTTTCAACCATTAATCTATCGTGAAGTAATGAAATTGGGTTGTTAGCGGAATGCTAAATAAAACAGCAAAAAAGGTTATCTTCCATTTAATTCCACTTAATTAATTTTGGTATCCATGACAGATACGTATTTCGACTACAATGTGCAGTCTTCATCAGTGTCATTCCCACTAAAGAACTTATCAAAATCTGACCCCCTTAAGTACTCATCCCCTAGGTAAAAAAAAGTCAAGATCATAGGTATAAAAATGAAACTACAATGTGTTGAATCGGAACCTACCTAACTAATAAAAACCAAAGATTTAAGTAAGCTAAAGGAGAAAAATCTATACAACTCTCTAATAAGGAAAATCCCCAAAGGCTTGGTAGCCATCATAATGAAGTAATGAAATTGGGTTGTTAGCGGAATGCTAAATAAAACAGCAAAAAAGGTTATCTTCCATTTAATTCCACTTAATTAATTTTGGTATCCATGACAGATACGTATTTCGACTACAATGTGCAGTCTTCATCAGTGTCATTCCCACTAAAGAACTTATCAAAATCTGACCCCCTTAAGTACTCATCCCCTAGGTAAAAAAAAAGTCAAGATCATAGGTATAAAAATGAAACTACAATGTGTTGAATCGGAACCTACCTAACTAATAAAAACCAAAGATTTAAGTAAGCTAAAGGAGAAAAATCTATACAACTCTCTAATAAGGAAAATCCCCAAAGGCTTGGTAGCCATCATAATGAAGTAATGAAATTGGGTTGTTAGCGGAATGCTAAATAAAACAGCAAAAAAGGTTATCTTCCATTTAATTCCACTTAATTAATTTTGGTATCCATGACAGATACGTATTTCGACTACAATGTGCAGTCTTCATCAGTGTCATTCCCACTAAAGAACTTATCAAAATCTGACCCCCTTCATTAATCTATCATCCGTCGGAGTTGATTTAGATAGAAAGCTAAAAACTTGGACTTGGACCAGTGGTTAAATGCCATACTCTGTTTTTGTTTGGATTATATTTTATAATAAATTTTTTATTGGTGATGAATGATGTTTACTTAAACATGCAGTATTCAACATAACGCAGAAAAAAACGAGCATCAAAATAAAAATATTTGAGGTAAATATAAACGTAATCTCAGTTTGATTTGGCCACAAAAATAAACTAGGTTGTTTCAAACGTATTTAATGTTAAAAGTCATGTGACATCAATGTTTAGAATAAAAATCATTATACGTTCGTCTTCGTTCCTTTATTTAAAGTCGGTCTCTGTTCCGCAGTGCCTAGTGCCAATCACCGACGGACATCGATTGCAATCCATTAACGGCAATCGAATGTGCAGGCGGCAACTTCCACATCTGCGTATGATATCCGAAGGAAGACGCGACAAGACATTTTTATGCCTCAGAAAAATCTCACCGATCTCGGCTGGGATTGAACCCAGTATATTTAAAAAATATCCGTGTTGAAAATTAACGTGAATTTTTGTTTGATTTGACAAAAACATTTTTATATTAAACATGATTTTCGTATTTTATATTAAGAAAAACAAAGGGGAAATGAAGGTAATGTCGGCCTAAGTGTCCTAAATTTGGGCCCATACATAAATTCAGCAATCGACTAAATTTTCAATAGCGACCAAAAATAGACATTACACCACCCCAATGACGTGTTCATATAGATAAAATTAATAAATAGCAGATTTTTAGCGATGGGCCCAACCTTATATCGATAGGCCAACATTAAAGCCATTTCCCCTCTCTATTTATGATAATAAATTATCTTCGAATGCGCGATAACACAAATAAAAATGCGCGATTAGGTTAAAACACCAGATTTAAATACGTTGCAGACACTAAGATGATTCAAACTAAGCGTGTGCTTTTCTTTGCATTATCGCCATCCGTATCCGTATCCGTATCAGAAGTGACGCGATGGCACTTCTCCAATATTCCTCCCCATTGTCCGTCTTTCCATGGGCAAACTTAAAAATAGGGGAGAACAGCACATAATGCACCCCTGGGGTGTAATGCCCACTTGTAGAAAACAGCGATAACTTTTCCTCAGATTTTTTTCCGTGTAACGAATTGTATTTGTTTTCATCTGAAAGTTTCACAAATAATTCCTGATCATTAAATCATATAGGGGAAATTGATGTCATGTCAGCCTAAATGCCTCTAATTTGGGCCGATACATAGATTCAGCAATCGACTAAATTTTCAATAGCGACTAGAAATATCAATTAGTATCGTCCCAATGACGCGTTTAGCTAGATAAAATAGATCAATAGCAGATTTTTAGCGATGGGCCCAATCTTAGATCCATGGGTCAACATTAGAGCCATTTCCCCTAGTTATTGACATACCGATTCGATGAAAAAATTGAATTTTGTTCAAAACATGACACAGTTGTTAAAATTATCGACTACAAATTATGCTTTAAACAACATAGCACTTTTCGTTTATTTTTAATATATTTAACTTTATTAATAACAGTTTAACACTATTGAGACCTTATTTCTGATGTAAAATAAAGGAATACTCATTTGAAATATCTCATGCCTTTGTATTCTCTACTTGCAGTTTATGGTTTTTCTCTATCAAGCAGTGCCTTTTACCCCAACGTTCTGGTGCGTTTTGTCCATTGTTGTCGTGCGTCTTGCCCCAATGTTGTAGTGCATATTGCACCATGAATCAGTTGAAAAAATTGTAATGAACCATAATGCAAGCAACTGACGATTTTGCTTAAACGGTACGTTTTTCACCATCCTTCATTGTTCAGGGGCTTTTTATTGCCAGAACTCCAAGCCAATAGGAAACGATGAGTCCCACAGGACACGACTTGTTCGTTACCGATCAACTTGACACACTGAATATATCCGTGCTGGGAAGACAGTTGCACACCAACTACGATTCTTCCACAATCTTGCAGATGCGTATAGAGCAATCGTTTCCCCGGAAGGAATGCACCGTTTTCGAGAGAGGGCATCAATGGTGGTAACCGGCGTTTGATGATCGTATAATGTCTCCACATAGAAAATCTCAGCGACCAGGGGCTACATTGCGCATCTCGAAACGAAACATTTTTTTTACGAATGCCTGTATGAAAAAGTTTATCGTTTCAAGATGCGCAATGGGGCCCTAGTCCTATCTTTCGTACACGAATATAATTATTGGGAATTCTTCCGGAAAAACACCCCGGTAACAACGTGTGACTGTCCACTCAGAGTATTCACCAGCTCCAGTGTCACTCCGTCAGCTCCTGATCTCATTGGCCACTGCCAAAAACTTCAGATCCTGCGAAATTGCCAGCGAAAGAACTACCGTCTTCTGCGCTTTTGATCCCATAAACCGTCCCGCTTGGTCAGGTCCCACTGGACATTGATTCCATTATTATTCGTCACGTACAGAAGACAATGATCATCAGTCAAACACAGACACGTCGGCAACAGATGCTAGTTGATTTCGATATTATTGAAATAAGCATAATTTTTAATTGAATTTAAACAAACATATTTTGGTGTTAAAGTTGATTTTAATTTACTTTGGATAATTTATATGTTTCGAGTATAAACATTTATACTTTTGATTTAAATGAAAAAAAAATCGTATCCGTAATGAGAGGCTCCACCTATTGCGCTTTGTAGTTTGTATAAATGTATGAAATGAAGTAATTTAAAGTATAATTGATTCTTTACATAAGTCATTGGACAATATTTTCAACATATTTATGATAAGCCATCCCTAGCAGCACAATTGTCACAATAGTGCAACTTATTTCGATGGGAGTGTGCTGCTTTATTCGCCATGTTATTTATACATTGAATTCATTTTTATTACTGGATGAAACGCATCAAATTGTAATTTAAATAAATACTGAGAAACTGAAACACGCACATGAAAACCCTCACGCTGCTGTCTTGTCATCCCTCAACAAATATTTCACCCCCATTTGACACAACTTTAAACTACCCAGTACTTACTTTAGTGTCATTGATATGAAAAATACATATATTCTACAAATGGCTACACTAGTGTCTTGACTAAAAACTGAAAAATTAAATCCAAAACAAACCATACCAACCAAACGTTAAACACGCAAATGAAAACAATAATCCTACAAACATATTTACCTTTTTTAATGATCATAACTTGTTTGATTTTAACTTTTTGCTCGCGTTTATGTTTCTCTTCTATCGATCACTGCTGCAGCACGGGCCTTCATACACAACGTTTCGATTTTACAATTTCATTTTTGAAGTCATGTCATACAGAATACGTTGTGTATTGACATAAAAATGCGACAATTTCGAAAAATCACTCACACTAACACAGTATATTTTAATTTTATGCGTTTCTTCTCACTTCTGTCTAGTTTCACTATCTCGACAATCTTTACTGTTGTTCCGTTCACTATCACCACTGCCACTATTGGTCGACGTGAACGCGTACATGCGTGGGCACGAGCAGTGAATATTAAAATCAGCTAATTATTTATTTATATTTGTTTTAAAACGATTTATTATTTTGCTCCTCCAGTCACTTTGCCAGAAGGCAAAAGTCGTATATGAATTTATTGTTTATGATTATTGCGATGTGTTAAATTTACGCGTATTTAACCGCCTTATCCTCTCATCACCTTCTTTTTGTCTTTCTTCGAGCGCTGATGTTATAAATATTTTAATAGATCATTATGATTTTACACTTGTTTCTCGGCTTTCCCATGTTATTAGATATTGATAGCAACAATATAACTAAAACTATAAAATGAAATTATACGCAAAAAAAACAAACAACTGAAAATGTGTGCCGTAGCGTATTTTTGCTCGTTCCCGGATCGACCTGCTCTTGATCACCAATTTTTTCCCGCTGCTTCCGATTTTCACTGCCTTCACTCACCGAGTGTGATAAACGATTATGATGGAGTATATAAATTTTTATTGAACGTCGCACTCTAAAAAAAAATCAACTCTCGCTCGGACCCGGCTGCGACTGCTCGGTTCGGGATTCGCTTGAAGCTCTGGTAAAGGTATAATTTTCCTTATTTTTTGTCTGCTCTCTGTGCGTTGTTTTTCCTAGTGGGTTCCACAGCTCAAGCATCTCTCGATTACTGTTTCTCTCTTACACACACACAGGGATGCTCGCACTGTAGCTCTTTCGCTCCAACGTGACCGGAGATAGGAGCCCAGTGGGGTTTGATTCAAACCGGCTATGTTTTCTCTGCTGAGAAGTGGAGGAAAAAGCGCCAACCGAACAACTTCGATGCAAAGAAACGCTCCAACTCGGACTCGGCGACGCGAAGGACGGCATCGAAATTGAACGCATGTGTTCACCAAACAACCCGTCAAATCGTACTGAGCGAGAAAGAGTGGGTCGTTGTAGTCGTGACATGGCCGCCATGGCTTCGTTCAGATGTTGATTTTATGTACATAAAAAAAACCTCTATAATGAATGCAATAAACTGCTGAGTCTCTGGGGCGCGGAGCAACCGTATGTACGTACCTCATTTTGAGTCTGCTCACCAGCCAGCACTGATACATAACGAGACGGGGCTACTTTTCTGCCCTGAAACTGCTGTTGTTGTTATTTTTTACTTCGGTGTAGAATTTCAAGACTTGGATCCGTATCGACGGTACCCTCTCGGGAGATGACGGCAATGGGTGCTCAGCGGAGCGTACAAGCTGTGCCACACAAGCAGACTCGCATTTTCAACTCATGCGCAGAAGCATTGGCAATAGTTTCACTCCCATACGGTCTACAGTGGTAAATATTGACTTTCCAAAAGGGCAATTTTCGAGCAAACAGCGATAGGACACGTCGTCCAAAAAAAGCAGTAGCCGGGAACGATTATGTCTCCCGATTATTGCCATGGCATGGTACACACACGCACATCCAAGAAACAATTTTCATCAGCATAAATTTCGCTTGGTTCATAAATCACTCCGACTAAATATACGATGTCGTGCCAGTGCGATGTGAAGCCAAACAAATCATTCCATTTTGGTCCCGTTCCATTCCGATTCCCTTTTCGGTGATGGGAATCGATTTTCTTCCATCCGCTCCGCTTCTCTGCGGCTTTTCTTGATTTTCAGCAACATTCTAAAATAGGGAGTGTGTCACTAAGGAATCAATTGCTGGTGGAAACCGTTGCCATCTTAAACTACATAAAGCGGAAAAGGGATCAAGCGTGTGGAAAAAGCTCATTTGTTCGCAGTTTATCCAGACGGGAAATTTACGATGTTTTCTGTCATTCCCCTGGCAATTGTTTGCTGGTTTGAAAAGTTTGGCGCCAAATTGAAGTCATTCGAAATTTGTCAACTCGTAATGGGAAATGGGACTTTTATGTCATATATTCAAACATCATTATAATTACGAAGCAACTCGCAAAACAAACGACAAACACATCAAATGTGAGGACGGGTTGCTTACATCCTCTGTATATTTTTCTTATGAGAAAGCAGACTTCAGCGAACAAGCTATCTTTTTTTTCTAAATTAATACTTTCATACAAATCCTTGCCATGATGATTTTATATGATCAATGTATTGGTGCGAAGAAATCTGATTCAAATAACACTAGTTTACAGCATTTTTGAACTCGGTAAGGTGATGATCATTTCCAATGCAAAATCCTACGCTGAATTCAATGCCGTGGTCAGAAAAAATTAAAGTAGAGCCATTTTTCAGATATACAAAAAAAATTATTTTTTGAATTTAAGACAAAAGTACGATTACTAAAATGTCAATATCTTTGGAACTAGTGCACCAATTTTAATTCTGTTTTTTATGAAAATGAAGCTTAATAAATTTGCTATCGTTTACTAGAATATTATGTCTTAATTAAAAATTTAATTTTGAAGTCATTTAAAAATTTACAGCATTTTTTTTTATTTTTCCTGCGAATTTTCCATAAAAATCTTGTTTTAATCAACATTTTTAATGGGATAAAAAGATTCAAAAAAATCATTCCATAATTTATTCTTAAAGTCCATTCAAAACCGGAGAAAATGAGCCTTTAATGGATGAAATCGGTTGGAAATTGTTGAAGTTATGAGCATTTTTGTAAAACACTTAAAAATGTTGCTGAAATACAACAACTTTAGAGTTCCTTTTCTAGGTGTCGTTGTAAACATCCAAATCGCATGTGAAGTTTTCATGGGAGATTTTTTTCTCTACATATCAATTTGATTAAGGCATATCAGGATTTAAAACCGAGTTGATACAAAAGAAATTTATTTAGGTTTTATTAAAAATGATTGAGAATTGAATGACTTTGTCTTCGATGTTTTGAACTTGTTTCTCGAATCAGAAACCAACAATAGTCACCCATCATTGCTTCATCCCAAAACCCTTGGTAACGACGTTTCATCATCTTCATTTGTTGGTGAAAGCGTTCGCCGTGCTCATCACTCTCGTCACCAAGATTTTCCGGGAAAAAATCCATGTGAGAATGTAGGAAATGTATCTTCAAAGACATATTCACACCTGTGTTCAGTGAAATAAAAGGATTTGAAATTAATTATATGTAACAAACACAATATTTTTGATTTATACCTATTTTCTCATAATTTTTGAGCAATTCATCGACGGCTTCCTCATAATCTGGGCTTCTGAAATTTCTTAAAAAGGTTGTGACAACACGCTGGAACGATTTCCACACTTCTTCCTCATCTGGTGTCAAAACTGTATTGAATGCGGAATCATTGAGCAGTTTTTTGATCTGTGGGCCAACAAATACACCTTCCTTTATCTTTGCGTCAGATAAATTTGAAAATACTGATTTGCAACGCTTTGACGAAATTTTTGAATAGCCCAAGTTTTATATGTAGTGGTGGAAGTATTATGCGTTCTTTTACCACAAGAGGATCATTTTTAACGTTGTCTTTACCAATTGTGAAATTATCCCGTTTTGGCCAATCTTTTCGGACGTAGTGTTCCTTAGGAGCTCGACTGTCCCATTTACACAAAAAACACATATATTTTGTGTATCCCTGTTGCAATCCAGTCAACATGGCAACCACTTTAAGATCGGAACAAATTTTCCAATTGTGTTGATTGTAATTTATCAAATTGAGCAATAGAGCCATTGATTCATACGTCGTATACATCGTTAAGCAATGTTAAAGAAAGAAAGCTGTCAAATTGAGTTGGTTGCGTTAGGTTCTCGCCGAGCGGTCTCACAAACACTAGCGTAAATTATATTGTTGAAAATATCGTGACAGCTGGTAGTGTTAGTGAAATGCACCGTATGCGTACACGTCCGCAGAAAGGCTTACTGGAAGTGGTGCATGAACCTAGGAGCGGGACAACGGCCAATCTTGGAACATTCAATTTCCATGATTTTACAAAAAATTTCATAACTTCGACAATTTCCAACCTATTTCATCCATTAAAGGCTCAATTTCTCCAGTTTTTAATGGACTTTAAGAATAAATTATGGAATGATTTTTTGAATCTTTTTATCTAATTAAAAATGTAGATTAAAGCAAGATTTTTATGGAAAATTTGCAGGAAAAATAAAAAAAAATGCTGTAAATTTTTAAATGACTTCAAAATTAAATTTTTAATTAAGACATAATATTCTAGTGAACGATAGCAAATTTATTAAGCTTCACTTTCATAAAAATAGATTTAAAATTGGTGCACTAGTTCCAAAGATATTGACATTTTAGTAATCGTACTTTTGTCCAAAATTCAAAAAATCAAAATTTTTGTATATCTCAAAAATGGCTCTACTTTAATTTTTTCTGACCACGGCATTGAATTCAGCGTAGGATTTTGCATTAAAAACGTTGGTCAACCACTAAAGTTCACACTTTTTATGTTGTTTTGTAAACTAGTGTAATTAGCGAGCATATATTAAATAAAGACTGGAACGCGCATATATTTAAAGGAAAAAAAAGGTTCTTTAATTCTTTTGATTAGCCAAATCCGAACTGCCGTGCCATCCGCTTAACCCCTTCTATTAAATTTTGCATAGTGGTCTCATCGACCTTATTCGCCGCCGAACGCCAACTGCTGCTCGTTTTCTATGGATTTATTAGTTTTTTTGACATTCCGTTTGACCAAGGCCCAATACCGTTCGACAGGGCGGAGTTCTGGGCTGTTGGGAGGGTTTTAGTATTTGGGTATCAATACCACGTTGTTCGCATCGTACTACTCGATTGCTTTTTTCATATTAGGGGCAGCTCGCCAAGTCCGGCCAGAACAGCACAGGTCTATTATGTTGCTTTAGGAATGGTAGCAGCCGCTTTTCCAGGCACTCCTGGACGTAGATCTTGATTGATGGTTCCCGTAGTGATGGAAATACCGCTTTTTAGACCACACGTGCATATGGCCTGCCAGACGGGATATTTTTTCGTGAACTTCGATAGTTTGATGGTTTTGAAAATTTCAGCCACCTTCCCTTTTCCTGATGCGGTATAAAACTCCTGTCCCGGAAGCTGCTTAAAATCCACCTTCACATAAGTTTCGTCGTCCATGACGACACAGTCAAACTTTGTGAGCAGATTCGTATACAGCTTTCGGGACCGCTGCTTTTCCGACGTGTTTTGTTTGTAATCTCGGTTCGCCACCTTCACCTTCTTAAACGTCGACAACCCGGCTCGTTTCTTGACCCGCTACACAGTAGCATAGGAGACATTGAGTTTGCCAGCAACGTCCCGGATGGAGTGGTTAAGATTCCGCTTATATTTCACCACCACCTTCTTCGTCGTCGCTGCCACGTCCGGATTACAATTTCCGCCGCTTCCAGGCTTCCTGGCGGTCAACATACGCTCCCCGAACACTTTTAAAATGTTTGTCACGGTCGATTTGGCCACATCCAGTAATTTTGCCAACTTGGCGTGTGAGAACGTCGCTGCTCCTCTTGCTTGGACGTCATTTTGAAAACTGGAGAGCAAACGGTGAAAACTCATCATAGTAACCATTGTATATACACTCAACTTCCAAATGCAACATTTCAGGTTTTTTATGCATTTTTAACAGAAATACACCAATTTGAAGTTGACCAATTGTTGCGCGTTCCAGACTTTAATTCATTAAGAAGTCTTCCGATAACTCCAGTACAGTATTTATGCGGTTATTCTGTATGAAAGATACAAAGCTATTACTTATTTTTTATCAAT